TGGATGGATGGATGGATGGATGGATGGAATAGATGAATAAAAGTATGAATAGATAGAAAATAGACAGAGAAGTAAGCAACTTGCATGAGTGTCTTTGGCTGAAAGGATGGGGTTTAATTTAAAAAATAAACAAGAAAGAAAGTGAAACAAAAACCTTCACATACCAGTCAAGAAAAATCTGATCACTGGGACGTCCAGTTTTGAGGTTATTTCTAAGGTCAGGCAGGTTCCCACTGAAAAAACTTAAAAACAATCAAAACATCATTAAACATACTATTTCTAACCCTGGAAAATGTCTCATTTGCTGTGAGCAATGTCTCTCCTCTTTACCGGATACACATAATATTCCTATGAGCAAATATAATTTGATACAACTTCTGTCATGTTGAGGATTTTGACAGTGTTGCAGAGAATATTAAAATCTCACAAAAATGATATGCAGTGGTCGGACGGAACTCTTCGTAGAACAAGCCATACAATAACTGAAGTTTATTCTTATTAAATATGTGCATTTTGCAGGGTATTCTGCAGAAAGCATATAAAAATATGCTTGCTAATTCACTTCAAGAAACATAACCAACGTCCTGATGGGGAGAGGGGGAGGGGGGGGGGAGGTAGAGAGGGGGTTACAGCCACCCTTTGCACACCCCCTAGCTGACGTAGTAAATATGCAAAAAGTATGCAATTTGCTTCATTGTTTATTCGCCCTGATTTGCTTAAAACAAACGTTACCTCTTTCAATTTTAATCTATAAAACACCAGTTAATAAATATACAGTTATCGATCGCTTTTAACAATAGAATTATACATAGTTAAGCCTCATGTACTTCTACAAAGTGATACAGCCATATGAATTAATTATAAGTTCTAACTAACCTTGCAACTCGAGGTCCGGGGATATGGGAAAACTTCTTTCGACGGTGGACAATGTACAGAGCATAAGAAGCGACCACGAGTAGGATAGCAAGTAAAGTGACGAAAATCGCATATAGGAAACTCATATTTGCTAACCTATTAAAGCCAAAACCTAGAAATATTTTGCTGATCTGACTCACTACTCTCTAGAAGATGTCTCTCTAGAATAGAACCGAGCAAAACCAATCGATTCAAGTCACGATTGCTGAGAAACGTCCAATGTTAGATATATAATTGTTCTACTAGCCTATTCTAGTTCAGTTAGTGAAATATGGCTTGCAACTAGGTAGCATAAAACGCCTCTTTTTGGGAAAATTTTTGGAGCAAAGTTCACTTCGATATGTTTGTATTTACGAAGTCTGTTCCAGGCTCTTTTAATCATGCACAGAAATTGGGTTGCCTGTGGTTTATCAAACCGCAGGCAGCCCAAGATTAGGCTTTTGTTGAAAACTAACTTATTCCTACGCAGATGTTTTCAATACTAGTATATTCAAAATTATTCAAGAAGGTGAAACGCAACATAAACCCAGTTGAAGCTACACGAATCATCAAAATGGGGAAATACTCGAAGTTTACCGATTTGGATCACCAAGTGAAAACGTTTCGTTGGCCGTATTGGCTGCTTCCATTGCTGTTCTTGTCACTTCTTCTCGTTCTTGGATTATTTATCTTCATAACGATTCACTCGGCCGATCGTTTTGGTTGTCTTTTCCACTGCGAACAGAAGATCGATGATGGTGGTGTTGTACCTCCAAATGATGGTCCTTTTGACATTCGTAGAGGCGATCACAACGTTACCGAACACGTTTCAACGAAAAAGCCATCTACAGGCACAGACTCGGATGAAATGATAATGGGTTCGACTCCGACTCCAACTCCAACCGAAGCAACAACTCAGATCACCGTGAAAGGAAAACTGCTATTCCCAAGTGATAGGGTTCCTGATTCAATCCCACCTAACTCTCACTTAATCGTGAAGTTCGAAGACTCAAGTTTACAAGACGCTTCGTCTGTAGTCCTTGGAAAGACCCTGGTCGATGCCAACACGTACAAGAAGGGTACTAATCTAACGTACAAGATCGTGTGCCCCAAACCAAAAAATCATCATGATTTCTACAGTGTCTCGGCTACTCTCAACATGGGATGGACGCCAACGAAAGAAGGCCCTTGGATAAGACATGGAGACCTTTTTACCGATACCATGTACGACGTGAAAATCAAAAACAACGTGACTGTCTATGAAAAAGATATCACCTTCGCTTACTTGGACTAAAACATGGTAAGAGACTTACTCGACGAAGCCAAATAAAAATTTCTATAGCTTATTTATTTTGTTAAACAGTTTAGGCGTTCTCGTATATACTGTAAAAAATTCCAGAAAAAATGATTGCATCTTCGAAAAGTTGGTCATTTTTATTTCGTTTGTTTTATTTGTATTTTCTCGTCTTTAACAAAATATATCACTTATTGATATTCGTATCGTCATTATTTCCCTCCCGCTACGAATAAAGGGAGTATAAAGCGTATGAGAAATATTTTTGACTAAGTTGCATTGAACTGGTTTTCTCAACTACGAATTGGCTTCTTGGAATCTTTCAGTACTCGTGGTACGAACGATTTTTCAAATCGAATATTTTTGCGGCTTTCGATCATTCGGACGTTTTGATCTCTCATTTAATCTTGAGGTCATTCTTAATTGTTGTATTCACCTTGAATTACCGACCTCCAAATTGAAAATTGCAGCAATCACATATGCGGAAATCTATTGATATCTAAAGTTTAAATTTCATTTTCGTCTTCAGATCGTTCATCAATTTGTTCGGGCTCTACATTGAAGTTGTTTCGTATTTTGAATTCTGTTGTTTCGAAGCTGAAGGCATTTTAGTTGCTTAGATTTTTGTTAAGAGCTTTGAAAGCATAAGTTTTGAGATATATTTTTAATTCGTGAATACTCAATTTCTTTTTATACAATTTTGAAGGATTTGTGTTTATTTTATTTATTTATTCCGTAAACTGTTAGTGGATTTCGAAACTCAACCATGATATTTCCATTAATGCGAACATTTCTCAAAGTAGTTTTCTTTGAATGAAATTTCATTCCTTTGCTCTCACACTTTCAATAAATTATATTGCTGTTTTTAGAGGACTTGTTATTTGTAGAATGAGGAAAAGTATGTTTTTTATTTGGGGTAGCCAACCCAATTCACCATTATTTTTCCATACATAGGTTCACTGGTCAAACACAAAGTGCTCAAGTGAGATACCAAGGTACTTTTAAAGGATTATGCAAATTTGAACCTTGCAACCTCGACTGAATGCTTTGTGTTTGATCAGTGAACCGATGTATGAAAAATGGTGAATGCCCTGCTGCACAGGCTAGAATAGGTGGTGTTGAAGCAATACTGAAAGGAGGAAACTCCCAAAGAAATCTGAGTTCTAGATGAGAATTGAACCCATGGCATTCTGCATTCTGTTCAGATGCTCTACCATTGAAATTATGGGACTCAGGGGTGRATCCAGGATTTTGTTCAGGGAGGGGTGCTGCACACAAAGTAACCCAGGGAGGGGACCCTTAGAATCAGGGGGGAACATTATTTTGTATTGGTTAACTTCAAAGTAGTGGCACTAAGTCGAACGAGGGAGGGGTGTGCTACCCCTGCACCTCTCCCCTGGGTCTGCCCCTGGGACTAATGGTGAGCAAGGTCAAATTTGGGTAATGTGACATGTAATTGATACTGCGATAAGCACAGAGAACAGAGTATAGCAGAATTGGGGCTTCTGTCAAGACTTGAACAATTATTTATTAGTGAATATTAGCAAGAGGTAGATATAGCATTCTGGGCCACCAGGGAAATGTCTGCCCAGAATTGCAACTTGTCCAGTCAAATCTTGTCAGTCATTTCGACCAGTAACATTCAGCCAGAAACAAAGTATGAGTGACCTTAAGGCTTTGGCCTGTCATCAATAACCAGCATCTTACCAGCCGTTATTTTAAATTAGCCCTGCAGCCCATAGCTGTCAGGGGCACATCCAGGGGAGGGGTGCGCACCCCATCCCTGTTTCCACTTTGTGTCCCTACTTCGAAGACAACCAATACTGTTTTTTCACTTTGATTCTTTGTGCGCAGCACCCCTCCCTGAACAAAATCCTGGATCTGCCCCTAGCTGTTAGGTCTATTTTGGAACCAAATTCACCTTAACATTATCTTTTTAACCATTACTTTTCTTGACTTGTATTTTATAGGTGAAGAACTGACTTGTACAGATGCAGATATATGGTAAACATAACTAATAAAATACTAGGCCTTGAATGTAGACATTTAGATGCATTTAAGTTTTCTTGTTTTTTGGTGCCCATACATCCATCAAATTTACAAAAGCCTTATCATACTTTTGTAGTCTTTTGATTGATGGAAGCCATCAAAAGCCAAGACTTCTAAAAGTTATGGAGGTCATACAAACATAAGAATTTAAGTGCTCTAAATTATAGTTTAGTATAAATTCTTAGACACAGGGGTTTCATTAAGGGTTGAAGATCAGAGAATGCTCTGGTAAATGAGAAAAAATTCCCTAGCTTAAACTACCCTTTTATAATGCTTAGCTTTAATGCCACTTAATATTCACTTTACTTTCACTCTCTTTAATGAAACCCCTGTAAGATAGAGCTGTTTTCTGACAGCACAACGTGCAAAAGTATGACCACACTGCTAATGCATTTGCATACTTCTATGCACAGGTTCTGTACGTTAAACCAACATATTTCGCTGCGAAGCTTGCTGGTTTTACCAAATAAGGCTCGTAACAGCTCATTTGTTAGCCAAAAGTCCATACATAGAAGTTTGCAGATACAATAAATGTGGTCAATTTTGCACATTGAGCTGTAGTTATAGTGGGAAATGAACAGTAATGACTATCAAACAGCTTATTAACTTTGAAATATGGCTTTCCATTGTTTATTATCCATTATCCAATGAGAATTCCTATTTAAAGTTACAGTAAAGTGCATCGTGGTATATGTTACTGCGGCAAATTGTCATTCGTCAATAAATTGTCTTATAGACCAACAATATGCATATTCATAATAAACCTTATGTCTTTAGTAGATTTTAGTTTGTAATGGTTGTAGCCGATAAAAAAAAAAGAATTCATTATGAAGAATTTTAGCTTGAATGTGAAAGAGCAAAACTAAAGTAAGTGTTAAAAGGCAATTTTAAATGCAAGTTTTAAGGCCATTGTTACAATAAAATACACTAATTTATAAAAAATAATKCAATACTATGAATTGGTTATTATAAGAAAATTATCCTTATTGAGTTAATATGTAATCCTCACCAGTTTTAAATAAATGTATACTTTAATGGAACTGTGAATAAAGGTGTTTCGTAGTGTTTAGATGTTAAAAATGTTGTGCTGCGTGCCTAGATAAGCAAACACCAACTTTTGCACTGGTTCACAGGTAGTTTTTAAATCGTGATCATGAAACAATCTCACACCAGATTCAAARTCATGGCACAGCTAACTCACAGTAAAAGTGCTGTAATACGAGCAACAAAATCGCGCAACTTGTCGCGCAAAATTGTTGAGCTGCAAATTGCAGATAAAATATTGCTCGTACTACTACTCCACGCGCAAGAAATTTTCATTGTTGCACAAAGTAGAAACCCTCTCTACTCTTTGCAAAAACGATGAAAATTTGTTGCGCACTGAGTGGTGATAAGAGAAACATTAGTTTTGGAACTTTCAATGCAGCAATTCTGCGAGTCAAAGTTGCGGGGTTTGTTGTCCGTATTACCGTGCCTTAAAGCCCCGTTTACACTGGCGATTTTTGCTGCAATTTTTGTAGCAATTTTCGGAAATCTTTTGTTTGATCCTTCAAAAGAGACATTCGTCTAGGAAAATCTTGGTATCCTGAAAAAAACTTTACAAGTAAATTCTTTACCATTATTTATTATGGACAGGATCGCCGAAAAACTCGCAGCAAAAATCGCTAGTGTAAACGGGGCTTAAAAGAACCACAGAGGGCGCTCCCTTGGAAGCTAGAGGAAGCCGTGGACTTACTGTTGAAAATCTAACACTAGTATAAATGGCATGAAAACTGTGAAGTCTAAAGCCTTTAATCTTCCTGAGCTTTCCTGATAAAAAAATAGTGTATGCAAGCCGATTACTAGTAAGAGCTGAGATGGGAGGAGAACGTGCTCTGCTTGCAGCATCGTCAAGTAACACAAATATTCAAAGACGTCCTCTAATAAACATTCATAGAGAACGTTTCTTTGAGTGCACGGCACTAGGTTGAAGTTGTACAAATTGATCATTGTATCGCCAGGGTTTTTTATACGATGTATATTTTACGGAGCTTTCGGACATGTCGTCCAACGATATAATAAGGGCGGGAAATTACAAAAAAAAAAAAAAAACTGCGCCAGCTTACTTGTTGTAAACTATATAAATTGTTGTTACGTCGCACTAAGACTGACATGCGCAAAGGTATAGAAACGCCCGGAATTCGAAGACAAAGCTGAAATACAGCAGTTTTTTCTTTTACTTTTCTGTCACGAATCGAAGAAAATTTAATGACCATTCAAAAAGTATCAAATTAAAATCTAGAATACATGTAGATAGTGCTAATAAGTCGTATAATTTCGTTTTCCCAGCAAAAACCATATAACTAAAGCTCATTTCCATGGCAGCAGAAAATAAGACTGCGCTTTCACTAAACCATTAACTTAAGGTTTTGTTTGCGCAACTGAAGTCGAAGTAACGTACCAGAATGTTTGATCAGGAGCGTACTACAAAAGCATCACGTTCTTGAATTAAATAATCAAACAACAGCGTTAAATACACATTTTTTTGTGTAGGTTAATGCAATCTAAAAATATTTTTTTGAGAATGGGACTAGATAATGCGCACTGGTCAGAAATTTCTTTTGTCACTTCGTTTTCCTAATAGATTCTTTATTTTCTCCAGATTGAAATGTTCTTATCAGATTTTATTTCATTATATAGTACTCTTAATATTCACAAGCGCATAAATCATTTTTTCATTATTCTTGTATATCAGGATCTTTTTATTCTTTTTGCATTGCGCGCGCGCAAAAGGTCATTTTATGTATTTTGCGCTGTATAAGTTATAATTATTATTATTATCATCATCATCATCATTGGAGGCTAACTGCATGCGCTTTGAAGGCACGGTCACGGTATGAAAGCGTGACAAGTTACGTTGATTCTCCTTGTGTCACGACAGGGTCATTTACTGAATCAGTTAAAATCACATGTGCATGATATGGTATTCTTAGAATATATCAAATTGAGAATATAATTGTCTTGTTTTGTTTATTCATATTTTCTATGCTTGAAAGAGATGAGCCATGGCGAGTACAAAATGATGAGTCATGCTATAGTTGCCATGGCAATATATGATGACGTCGTTGTTCCGGTCAAAAATAGTATATTATCCATTTATCAGGATGATATTACGTAATTACTACGTAAGACGATGTTCTTGGCTTGACTTGTAAAATTCCCGTCTGAACACATTAATAGATTAATTTATCACTATATGGGACAGGAATTGTGGTTCATTATTCATGATAATTCAGTGCGTGTAAAGTCCACTGGCCCAGAATAAAACGTGCTTGCTTTAGCCTGACAAAGACAAAGTATGGGACACTCAAAACCCGGGGGGGGGGGGGTACTCCGCCAGAATTTGGGTAGGGGTGTTCCGCTGGGATTCTGAAAGGGGTACCCTGTTTATGACCAAAAACTCAAATTTATAGACCCTGTTTATGACAAAAGATATAATTTATTGCACTGAGTTCCTCTTTCAATTATCATGTTATCTCGCGTATCGTTTTTTTACAACCATAATAACCAGTTTCGGTCAATACGAAAGTAGAAACCCTGAATATGACAGGAAGCTCAGGAAGAACTTGGAACTTGAGTGAAATTGCATACCCTGTTTATGACAAGAAGCTCGAAAAACCATACCCTGTTCAGCGGATAATCCCCGTATAGTCCATATATGAGAGTACCCCCCTCCCCGGGATTCAAAACAAGATATCTTAATTATAGATCTATATGGACGGTTCTGATTCATTTACGAAGCTGGATATTAATCGCTAGGGAAAGGTCGGAAGGGACAGGGGATACGAGACAGGAGTAGGATAGAGTTTTAGACTCGGAAATACTTTTTTTCAAATTGCATTCATTTCTTTAATTCCAGTCTCGCCCCTTCGGCCCCCTCCCTTCAGATTGATCGTTCTATCCTGCCCTTGACTGGGTTCAGCAGCTGGTAGCCTCCGTGTGCCATCCAAAATTACAAGGCCGATTTTACATGAATCTCGTAATATCCTTAAAATAATGCTGAATACGTAGAAAGCACTGACGTCATTATTGTTTTTATTTCAAATGTACTAAAAATAAATTTCTTACTTTACAAATTTTCTAAACTTTTGTTGTATCTTGTATTCCTCTCTCTTGAACTTTCAAACCCTTTTCTATTGGTTATATTTTTACTTTATATATTTTTTGATAACTTTATAGATTTTAAGATCTTGAAGGTCATCTTGAAGGTCTTCAAGGTCACCTTCCAAATTTTCCCGCGAAAATTTCATTTTCTCAGTCTTTAGTCACGTGGCACCAGTCGACTTGAGCAATGACGTCACTACTCGTACTTTTGTCGAATTTCTGCGGCTTCACGCCGAAGAGGTCAGCCATGTTGGATATCTATTTTTTCATCCTTCCTAATCTGTAATTACTAAGGACCATCAGAAGAACATAAACGAACTAACGAACCTCAGAATATTGGTCCGCACTTTACAGGATATATTTTTCCAATTGAGGATCGTATAGCTACACAAGAAGAGGATAACGGAAGACCTTCGCAAGGAGCTTCTCTATACTTCAGCGTCTTAGAACGCTCGTACTAACATGCAGAAGGGGAAAGGTTCTACTGCATCCCCTCCTGCAGGGGCAGGTAGAGGCCAGCCACCGTATCCTTATGATCTAAAGTAATTATTTCTGTTATCGCCAGAGAAGACATGTTTATGTGTTGGTTGATGGTGTAAAGTTTACGTGGCCTATGGCTGCCAGATTTTGGTTGCCGGTGTTTCTGTTCTCTCCTTAACTATTTCCTCTATTAGATCCCAAAGAGGCCCAACGCCACCTAATCGAGGTATGTTAGAATCCCCGACTACTATTTTACTTGAAAATAACCCCGTTACTTTGATATAACCTCTGTTTTTGCCAAACCTATACGACTGCTCCCTCGAAGGTGTTTCTCTCCTTTCCCCCGTCTATCGGCGTTTTTACTGATCTCTGGTCTTTCGTCTACTCTTCCTTTAGGCCAGGACGACTACTCTTCGAGAAATTCCCAGGGTTATCAACAACAGGTAAATTATATTTCCATTGCTAATCACAAATAAATCGAACTCTCATGAAAATAAACTGTTTTTCCAACGATCGACGTACCACTGCCCCATTCGTCTGAATACAAATAATTGTACAATAAATTACACTATAGGAAAGCAAAATTCTTTTATCTTCTAAATGCCTTTTCAAATTTATAATTGTTTACTGGTTACCAAGAAATAAGCAAAAGTAGGCTTAGATATTTATATATCGTAGACTCGACCAATAGTTCTAACAAAGAAGAGGCATAATTAATGTAGGAACCAAAATTCTAAACCTACTTCCGTTTTAAGATAGACATGCAAGTTTGAATAAATTTTAAGCCTGGCTTATTTAGTCTTCTATTTTCTGGGGGGATATTTTATATATTTTATATTAGATTCTTGGTAGTTTATTTGATCTGGGCTAGAGAAAAAATGTGGATTAAAGTAAATATCCATCGATTGAAAAACGTGAACTTTTTTCAATCTTTGATGCTTCAATATTTCCCTCTAACGACTGTCTGGAAATCATCTCATTCATTAAAAGGTCTACAAATAACTCTTTTGCTTATTTTTACAATCATGGAAAGATTGTCATCCTAGCTAGAAAGAACTGGACGAAATATCAAACAAATTCCATTTTTTTGACAGCTGTCTTACACTTTCATTTTCTTTTCCTTTGATGTTTTTCATTCAGATTTATTTTTTTATCACTAGATCAAAATTGTCTGTTTTACATCCTTAGTTGTTCAGTATTGTTGAAACATTCCCCATTCTCTCCCTCCTGTGTTAATTTTCTGTCCTCTGGAGTATAATTTCTTAAAGTTGGGTGTACATTAAGTATTACTCGTGGTTGAGGTGCCTTTTGTTTCCTATTGTGTTAAATAATGTCAAACTAGTACCAAAACGCACTAAGGAGTTAGCGAATGACCTATCTGTGGTTAGATAATATTACCTTAATGGTTTGTCTGTAGAGCTTGGTAAAAATATATGCACACAATCCAAAATTATGCCAAATAAATTCAACTATAAGTGCATACAATTAAATTTATGCTATTTTTGTTTGAATTCAACTATAAGCGTATACAATTAAATTTATGCTAGATTTGTTTTATGTTTAATCAATATGAACATTTAATCCTGGATTGATTGGTATTCATAAGCTGTTAAACTTGAATGAAAAATGTTGTGTACATGTATTCACATATTTATATTTATTTTGTAAATATTTGTCTAGCAATAATATAAAGCCATTGATTCTCTTGTGTTTTACGACAACAATTTATTCGTATTTAATTACAATCATATATATATATGTATATATAATTAATCTATTTACAGTACAGGCTTTTTAGGTATAGCAAAGCTAATCGAGCTAGAAAGCCATCTAGAGGAAATTGACAAACATTATATATGCAAATAAGCAGAATATTTGAATTATATGATATAAAACATTTCATGGATAGATGAAAAAGGTATTACATAACTCAATTCAAAATACATATTAGCTATATAATATTACCATGACAATACTAATTATATAACGCTATGGCAATACTAATTATACAATGCTAATGTTTATTGTAGAATTGTGTTTCTAGGAGTCCTCTAAGCATTCTTTGATTGCAAGTTACATCATCGCAGCCATGTTGACAAACAATTTGACAAACAATTTATCAGCATTATTAGCATCCATTGTTAACGACACCACAATGGCTGCCATGTTCTTGTCTTTTGACTTTCTTGGGAATGCTTGCAACCCATCATCGCACATTGAAATTCTAATAGTATATTTTTTGTAGTCGTAATTAATAGCAAGTTTGATTTATAGTTTTGATTTTTTTCCAAAATGAAGAAAATAATGTATACAATCATTGTTGAGTGCCAAGCTCTGAGGCTTATAGCTTATTTTACTTGACATTTGACCTATTTTTTATGTGAACAACATCTAAACCATGTATTGTCTAGTCAAGGGGCAGAATAGTATTCTTTACAGTTTCTCTGCGACTTGAATAAATTCACCTTGAGCACTAGCCATCAAATGCTATAAAAGGTGTGGGATTGTGTTACGGTCACCTATAATTTTGGACATTGTTACCCGATTTTTGTACAAACATACTTACTTTTAAACAAACTATTTACTCTTTTTTTATATAAATTTGATCTTCCTATGTTGGGAACTAATATCTTGCTAATTTATGTTCCTTTCATAAGATTTTTCAAAATATTGTGAAGATGATTTCATTTTGTATTTTTACACCAATTGTACATGTAATATCCTCTGTGTAGTTGTCGTTAAGGTATGTGATTTAATGACCAAAAATTATCCAAAAACACAAAATTCAAAACTTTACTTCAGTAATGCATTTAGGATACCACGTTGCTTGGGTTTCCTCAGATGTGTTCAAAAATGTCTTATTCATGATTGATAAGGAATATTTCTACTTGGGCCTATTTGTGAATGGACTTTTGGATTTATCTCTCTCTCTTCATTGAGGGCTTACCTTAAAGTGCTTATAAGCCTTTACACAATATTTTCAGAATTGATYCTTTAAATAGTGAATAGTTGRTTGTGAAAATAATTCGTCATTTGAATGTTGGGTCTTTGAGATACAAAGGATTATATTTCCAATATGTTAATGACCATGACTTAACAAAAGGGATGTGAGTTATTTTGTAGCAACTTTTAATATTGAACGCTGGACAAATTTGTAAGAGCCTTTACATGGTTCACGAGTAAAAGGGTGCTGCTTTTAAAATACTGTATTCCAGAACAAGTGCAGTGTTGTATATTAAATGATCCCTTATGTTACGTCATAGTTATTAAAATATTGGGCATATAAACCTTCGTATCTTAAAGACTCAACATTCAAATGATGAAACATTTTCACATTCAACTATCCACTATCTAAAGAATCAATTCTGAAAATATTGTGTAAAGGCTTATAAGCACTTTAAGTTTCGAAACAATAGGTGAAGATCATGGTAATTTAAGCTGTTTTTTTGCTCTTTGTTGCTGAAGTATTCTTCGATCTCAGACCCATAATGAAAACCCTGTCATTAAAAATACAGCCAATCAAAATGCAGGAAAGCAGTTTTATATTAGGCAGTATTCCATAGTTCCTTATTGCGACCTAGAAGTATTTTCAATGGTTATAAAACTATGTCAGCTTTGCCTCGTGTATCTCTTTTCTCTCCAATAAGCATCCATAACTCAATGGACACATTCCAAGCACATAAAACCATTTCTTGAAATACCTCTTAACTTTGGGGTAAGCTTTTCCATTTCAGACCATGTGTCATTCTCTTGAGAATAAGATTCTTTGTTTAGTTGTATCCACATTGTGACATTGGCTCACTGTTAAGAGCAACCTCGTTCCCAGGGCCATCTCACGCAGAGGAGAGAAGACCCTGGTGTTGCTGGTCACGTGATAAATCCGACACCCACCAAATTCAAATGTTTTGAAAATACCACTGAAAAAATAACTGGAGGAATGTGGGCTCATTGAGTAAGCATAAATTAAATATGGCTGTCAACATGAATAAACCAGTTGAGCTTTTAACAATGCTTTTGCTGTGCACCTGCTGTGGTTTGAGCCTGTAGTCAAAAGTTGATCATTTTGTCAACAAACGCTTCGCATTTTTGGCATATAACGGAATCGGCTTCTTCGATTCTTACACCACATGTAGTTAACACTTTGGTTGCTATTTCTTTTGTAAGTCCAGATTTACCAAAAACTCGTAGTAAGTGGCAAGTTTCGACTTCATTCCCACATGCACTACAAACAGATATGGATGATGATCTTTTTTCTTCCTGTCAGTAGTGAACTTTCTTTGGCGTTTCTCCTCCCCCATCACTCTTGGACATATGAGATTACATTTAGATAACAAATTTACATTGGAATAACAAGCTTTTCTGAGATTTTCTTGTCTTGCCTACATTATGTTTAAATCTATTATTATATTTCTCGCTCAGGCGTGCCATGGCACATCAAAAAGTCATAACAAAGCAACAACCAATCAAAATTCAGGATCAAGAAAATCAATCAAAAAATTTATTTGACCAGCCAATGTCAGGGTCTTCTCTCCTCTGTGTGAGAGGGCCCTGGGAACGAGGTTGTGTTAAGAGAATAAAATCATTAATTTATTCATTCTGTATTCATGTGTCTTCTCATGCACAACCGTTAAACAAAGAAATGATACTCTAGGGAATGACACATGGTCTGATATGGAAAACTTTACACCCAAGTCATAGAGGTAACTCTTTAATGCAAGTGACACTGTTAATACTATTACTTTATTTATATTTATTAGGGTGGAATACCAATGATGTTCCAAGGCATGATGCAGCAGAACCCACAACATGGACAACCCCCCCGAGGAATGCCGCCATATTTACCAACACGTTCAGTGAGGATATCACACCAACAAACACCTAATCATCAAATTTACCCCTCTCCTTCACCTCCAGTAGGGGTACGGTCAATTTATCCAATGTCTGGGAGTGGCACCCCATCACCATTTGGAATGTCCCCTCAGTATGCACAGGTAGGGGTCCTAGTGTAATCTTTGTTTAGTGAATCAAGGGTGGTGTAGCAGTAGTACACCTTCTCACCTCTTGGGTTTGATCTCTGTATCATATCATGTGGATCATGGGAGATTACACCAGCAAAGGGGTGAATTTTGTTTCTGCCAATCACAGCATGTTTTGCTGTCAGCCCTCATTCCCAGGCTACTGCAATCCAATTTTTGCTTTTTTTTTTTTTTTTGTCCTGTTTTATTTTGACTAAAATATGATATATGTGCCTACAAGAAGCAGAAAGAATGAAAGGAAGAACAAAAACAAGTTCACTTTAACACCATGTTTGCTTCGTTCTTTCAAGCTCCAAAAATGCTTAGGGCCGGTCATTTTGTCCACTCATGTTTTACGTTCACTGCTCAGCTGGTATGCTTCATTGGTGCTTTCATCTTCAATCTCTCCAGATTCAATCATAATTATGCTGATTTCCATTGTTAAATGTTCAATTAGGTTGACTTTCAAACAGTACCAGTTGCAAACCAGCAAGTGCAATTCAGAGGTCCAGGACAGCAAGTACCTGGACCATATAATCAAGTTTACCCTGGTTATTCAACTTCTGCATCAATGGCGCCATCTATATGTGGACCGCCTGTTATGTTTATGAGGAACGCTCCAATACCTCAAAATATGCCAGGTAATAAAAAAGACTACAAGACATTTGAATCATTGTAAAATTGTCTTTGATTGAACTTTGAACTTGAACTTTTGTTTATTTACACACATATAAATGTTTACAAGTATATATATATGTATATATTATGATATATTTTGAAATAAAATACGAGATTTTTTGAGGAAAAAAATTATCAGCGTTGTTCATAGTTCAGTGTGTGTGGTTGTCGAAATAGTGTAAACTTTTAAGTCGACAGCCACAATATAATGCATATGATGCATGTGTGTGAAGAAAATAGGAGATTTTTTGGGGGGTGAGGGGTGGGGAAACACAATGAATCAACTCTAGTTTTGATCACATCATTGTATGGTATGGAATGATATTGTATTTTCAAATAGCGATGAATACTTATTGTTATAACAAGCACTATTTTAAAAGGCTAATAGGTTGGAAGTATTTATTGTTAAAATCTAGGGTTGAAGTAGCTTTTATTCATATAGCAAATGTGGTGGATTTTGTTTCCAATTCTGTTATCTGGTAATTTTTCTCCATACAAATCGGCTTCAGAACTGTACTCCCCGGGGCGGCGGAACTGGGGGGACCGAGGGGGCATGTGCCCCCCCCCCCCCCAATATTTTTTGGTGGTCCTGGCCCCCCACAAAATATTGGTTCACATGAAATATAATTGCATAGATTCGATTTTTAATACTGTTATTAAGTTATTGTTGTGATTTTTTGCAGTGCCCCCCCCCCAAAGATTTTCAGCTTCCGCCGCCCCTGACTCTGCTGACTCTGTTCCCCAATATGTCCTATTTCTCAACCTGTTAGATTGTGTATAAATTATCTAATTATATTATAACTATTACATTTTCAATTCGAAATCTTTAGGTCCTCAACCATCATTCCAACCTTCCCGTCAAGAACAGCAACCGGCACCACCTCGTAAAAGAAATATCATCCAAATTAAAGATCCAGCCCAAGACAATAAAGACGTAACCGAAGAAATACTTTCACAACCTGCTTCTACAATTACATCTGATTCAGGATCTCCCAGCCTTGCATCAGAAACTAGGATTTCTGGAAATTCTAGTGCTTTAAATATGCCTCCACAAGATGTGTCTAAAAATAACGAATCAGGGCCAGTTACTACAGCGCGGGGAGCTGTTACTATAACTGACCCAAACGACTCCGTAAAGAAGACAAAACCAACCATCACACAGGTAGCCACACCCACTCAAACAGCCAAGAGCACTTCACCAAAGACAATGCATCCAGATGTAAAAATTATCGCCATTAAAAATACTAGAACTGTAGATAAGGATGCCAAGAAGGAGGAAAACAAGGTTGATGTTGCAAAACCACTGGTTAAGACAGCCGGTGAAGATGTTAATCAGGTGAAGAAAGCTTCTGATACTGCAGCTAGTGCCACGACAGTAGTAGATGGTGCAAAAGTTAGTACTGAAGCTAAAGAAAAAGACTCTGCAGAAGTGAAAACGGAAAATCAAATCAATTCAAATACTGCCAAACCTAGTATATCAAATGAAATTGTACCTCCTTCAGCTCCTGTTGATTCTAAGGTAACAACGCAAGAAAAGGAAGACGTAACGACAGATATTGCACCTAGTAAAAAACTAGAATCAAAACCAAAAGAAAAACTGGGCTTAGAATCACAAGAACAAACAAAAGCACACAATGAAAACTTACCTAATGGGTCCATAAGTCCACTAACAGTAAGCAAAGAAATTATTAAAGAAAATACACAAGAACCAGAAATGGTTCCATCTGTAAAGGATGTTCCTAATTCAGATATTAAAGTGTTGAAACAAGAAGAAATTTCTAAAGTAGAAGCAGAGACTGTTGATGTTGCTGCAGTGCCAAGCAGGGAGCCTACCCAAGAAGACGAAGCTGTCAATGGAGTGGAGTCAGAATCAAAAGCCAAACAAACTGCTGTTCCTACGAGTGCAACTTCTGAACTAGCTAGTAAGGGTTTTGTCATTCAATGGACACTTCTTAAAAGTACATGCATTGTGGGTGGAAGTCTAACATGGAAATGCAAAAGAAATCACGCTTTTTCTTGATGGAATTTGTGGCATTTCTTTTCTATCTTTCATGTTACAGTAATGCCATGTTCAAGTCAATTTTAAGGAGGGTCCATTCTGTTTTGTGTTTCTATTCTTTTGTTGTTTTTTTCTTCCGAGAAGGGATTATTAGATGGTTATATTTGAGCTTCAGTCATTACTGCCAGATTACAGTACCGCCTGAAATCATTGAGGCATAAGACGCGTTCAGTGCACGCGGTAAAAACGCAAATAAGCCGCGTCCTGACCTAGAATTGACCGCGATTTAACCGCGGTTGCCGAAAAAACGCGTCCCATACAGTATCATACTGTACAAAGCGCTGTTTGGTTATACAGTATTCCTACTGGTTTGGCATTCAACGAAATATTTTTTATGGCCCGAGTTCGAGTTTTTAAAAGTTCCATTTAGGAATCGAGTTCGAGTTTGTACCAACCAGTACAGGAGTCGATTTTTTTTGTGTGTAGAATTTCTTTGGAATTAATTGTTTCATCAATCGAAAATGAGCTACATGTAACTGTGTTTAAATGTGGTCATATGCGATTCTCTTGCCCTTTTGTACTGTATCTTGTGGGGAGCGTTTCTACCTCGATTTTGATCCAGTTGGAATGGTTAATCTATCCAAAAGTTCCAACTATTTTATAAAATAATAGTATTTTATGCTTTCGTGCTTTATTTCAAGGTAATAGAGTAACATTGGACGAAAAAACGAAATTACATTAGATATTTTAGAGCMCGACATAGATAATTGATTACAGTGTAACGCTACATGTATGACGTTTATCTTGTCGCATACTCTTATGCACGTGCGTTTGTACGTTTTAGATCTCTCAAACATTCTTCGTCCTGCAATTTCCTAAGGCAACTTTTATTTATACTTCTACATTCACAACAGAATTCGTTACTTTGATTCACTCTTGGGCTACTCGAAAGCATAAAATTCACAAT